CTCTCTCTCTCTCTCTCTCTCTCTCTCTCTCTCTCTCTCTCTCTCTTTCTCTCTCTCCTCCCTCTTTCTCTCCCTCTCTCTCCCTCCTCTCTCTCTCTCTTCTCTCTCTCTCTCTCTCTCTCTCTCTCTCTCTCTCTCTCTCTCTCTCTCTCTTTCTCTTCTCTCCCTCTCTCTCTCTTCTCTCTCTCTCTCTCTCTCTCTCTCTCTCTCTCTCTCTCTCTCTCTCTCTCTCTCTCTCTCTCTCTCTCTCCTCCTCTCTCTTCTCTCTCTCACTCGCTCTCTCTCCCTCTCCCTCTCCCTCTTTCCCTCTTTCCTTTGCGTGCGAAGGCATCACATGGTATGTCCGTACGTGACGTTTATTAAGAGTGTGCGTGCTTATTGGTGGTTGCCTTCTTCTTCCTTTTCCTTTCTTCTGCTCTCCTTGTTTGGGCCACTCCTTATGCAAGCTTAGCGCCCGGACTCTGTCCTTGGCTCTGATTGGTCTCCGAGTGCGTGCGTGCACGCCATTTGTTGGGCGTCGGGCGTGCCTCCATGCTTAGTTCTCGAGGCGTGTTGCATGGCCGGCAAATAAAAAGTGAGGAGTCATGGGCCACGCTCAAGGCTGTTCAGCCATGTTGACTGGGTTTTGTCACCCCCTCCCTCCCCCCTACACCATCAGGGTTTTTTTTTTTTTTTTTTTTTTTTTTTTTTTTTTTTTTTGGGTAAAAAATGGATGGCCATAAACCATCGAGCCTTTCATTCAATCGTAGGAATTATTACAAGCCTAGGCCTATCAGCCTTTGCTGCCTCCAAGGGCTATCCTAGTCAGCGAAGACCTTTGCCTTTAGCAAAAGGCTAGCCACCGGCCATGCACCCGGTCGTGCAACCCACTATGCCTCTTGCATGTGGGAAAAAGGGCGCCGCCCTATCAACCGCTCACACCACCGCTGAGGGACCTTGCGCACCACGCCCGCCCATGTGGCATGCCTTGGCCTTGTGGCCTGCCTGGCCGCAGCGAAAGCAGACTTCCTTGAAGCGCGGCTGCTTGCACTTAGCAGGGGGGGAGCCCTTGATGTCCAAGTCCGTGTCGCGACCACCAGGACGGCCGCCGCGCGTGTAGCCAAGGCGTGCACGCTTGAGCGCTGCCACATCCGCGACCGCCAGCTTGTAGGAGCGGGATGTGAGGACACTTTTGGACTGATAAAGCTGGAACCGGTCAGCGGCCTCGAAACCGGCTTCGTCCGCAACGAGAAGGACTTGGAAACGCTTATTAATAAGTATTTCGATATCCTTTATGTTGTTGAGTGCGCCGACGATGTCGCCGTGCTGCAGCTTGAAGTCGATATGCTTCAGGTATGCTTCGATTGCAGTGAAGACCTCGGCCTGGTCGCGTACGCCCTTGCGCATGAAGGTAGTAGCTGCGGGTGTGGGGCCAAGGGGGGCGAGAGGGGGGGCGGGTGCAAGGATGCGACGACGATCAATATTGGCGGGGCCCTCACCGTCGTCATTTTCGGAGTCGTCGCTGACATCGGGGTTGTCAGCGGGTGCGGGAGTTGGTGCCGGGGGCTGGTCGTCGGCGCGGGGAGCCTTGGGCGCGCGAGGATGGGTAGCCATTTCTTTCTTTTTGTTAAAATTGATCGTAGGCGCAGCATTATCGGATGAGGTTCCGACTGTAACAGCAAGAGCTTGCTGCTGTAACAGCGCCAAAAGCGCTTGCAGCTGGTGCGCAGTCAAGGCGGGGGCGGCGGCGGTTGGCGCGGGGTCAGTGGCAAGCGTGTGCTGGGTGGTGGGGCCCGCCTGGCCTGCAGGCGACGCGCCTCGGGCTGGCGCGTCGTCTTCCGTTGACTACACGCGCGGCTGCTTCTGGAGCAGCGTGAGTGCCGCCGAGCAGGATCTGGACTGCCGTGGGGCCCTCACCGAAATTGTCCTCAGCAGGACGTTTCTGACGACGGTCGGTTCCTCCGGGCGAAGTTCCAATCGCCTGGGCATTAGCAGGGGTAGAAATGTTGTTCGCCGCGCGAGCCCGAGCAGAATTGGCGGAAGTCATCGTGTCGATATTCTGCTGCAGAATGTCGGTGAGGAACGTTGTTGGGGCTTTGAAGCGCAGAAGAGACTGGGTTTTCGCGAGCTTGAGCGAGAACAAGGAGACTAGAACTAGGACGAGAACTGGAAAAACGAAACTGGAACTAGAAATGAAGAACGTGGGTGAGGTCGAATGGCCTCACGTCCCTCTTTTGTAGGCAAAAGAGGGTGAGTAGCGCTTCGAAGCTGTCCTTGCTGCGTTGGCCCTCGCTACACTTTCACAATACACATTCTTATAAAGCGTTACACGCTTTCAAAAAATTACATTTTATGTAGGCATGTTGACTGTGTGAGGGCGCTGATTGGCCCTTAACCAAAATCAGTGCCCATCGCGTGCTAGGGCTGACGTTATTAGGGTATTTTACCCTGATTCCATCATTTCACAAGGTATGTTTTTCGGCCAGCCCTTAATTTTCAGGGCGGTCAAAATCTCAACACT